GCAACGAATTGCATACATGCAGGAAGAGCTTCAACAGACCAAAGATCTGGCCAAACTGGCTATTGCATAGAATGAACCCCCATTGAAACTAGAAGACCTCCTCCTCCTTTTCCATCACTAAGTTCTCCATTACCCAATTACTTCCCTACCCATACCACAGGACCCATCACTTTCACTCTTAACCCTCCTACCATCGACTTAATTGTATCCAATCCTCCTTACGCTAGCACTTCCTACCAAACACCACCACCGCTACCAAATCAGAACCAAGCACCCAACACTAATCACTCCCAAAATTTCACACCAACCTACCAAATCCCACCCCCAGTATCGAATAATCCACATGTTTTACCTAGCCAACCTGTACACCCTTCTGTAACATTCCAAACTCCACCAGCCTATACAATTCCTGAGCCATGTTCAACCGGAGCTGGATCACTGTGAAGAAATGGAGAAGGAGTGGAGGTTGAGAGAAGAAAAACGTGAACAAGAAATGAATGTCACGAAGGAGGCCATATCTGAAGCAGTTAAAAGTGTCCAATCTTTAAGGAAAATCACATGACTTAAGTACGAGGACCTTTGCATGCACCCTGACTTGGAAATACCTGAAGGTTACAAAATTCCAAAATTTGAAACCTTCAATGGTATTGGGAACCCCATGGCTCACCTACGAGCTTATTGTGACAAACTTGTGGGTATCGAGAAAAATGATGCATTAATGATGAGGTTGTTTAGTCGAAGCCTCAGTGGCGAGGCATTAGAAAGGTTCACATCTCAAGAACTCCGTCAATGGTCTACATGGAGGGATTTGGCCAAAGATTTTTTGGAAAGATTCCAGTTTAATGTTGAAGCTATAACTGATAGGTATTATTTGGAAAAAATCGAGCAAAAGACCACGGAGGACTATCGTGAATATGCATGCCGCTGGAGGAAGGAAGCTGCGAAGGTACAACCTGTGATGACTGAAAGTGAAATAACTTTTTTTTATTTGAGCTCAGGAGCCTGAGTATTATGAAAGGATGTTGCCATGATGGGACAAAAGTTTTCGGAACTGATTAAGATGGGAGAAGCCTTAGAAGATGGCCTTAAGTCTGGAAAGGTTACAAGTCTCACTGCTTTGCAAGCCGCCAACAAATCCTTGCCGTCTATGGCCACATGATTCGCTAGGAAAAAGAAAGAGGACGTGTATGTTGTATCTTTTAGCCCGAGGTCAAGACCACAAAGGTATTTTGGGTCTAGTTCTGCCATTGGAAACTCCAACTAATTCTCCAGGTCAAACAATTACCCCCCATCACCACAAGCTCCAATTCCAATCTACTATGCACAATCGAACTACCAAGAATCCCCACCTATTTACCAAAATCAACCACCAACATACCAAAATACACTACCAAATCACCAAGCCAATGCACCAGCCTACCAAAATCCTGGACAAAACAACCCAAATGCCAATAATCTACCCCGCCCTAACCTCGAAAGAAAGCCTCCCAGAGTTTTCACACCTTCGGCAGAAACACGTACCCAACTCTTTAAGCGTCTAAAAGCGGAAGGATTAATCCAACCAGTAGATGCAAGAACTATTAATCCCACAACAAGGTTCTTTCGAGCGGATCAATGATGTGCCTACCATTCTGGAGGGGTAGGACATAATACAGAAGGATGTATCAATTTGAAATATAATATTCAAGACTTGATTGATCACAAAGTTATCACTCTCCAAGCTCCTGCCCTGAATGTGAGTCATAACCCATTGCCGAATCATGGAGGAGTAACAACCATAAACATGGTTGAAAGAGATGAAGATTGGCTTGCTAATGAGACTACTAGTGAAGCAAATGTCAACTCACTCATACCAACAGTGGCATCATTGACCATAAAGGCTCGTCCAGAGTTTGTGGTAATAACTGCACCTCATCAGGCATTCGTTTTGGCAAAAGAAAAAAAGCAATGACCATCCCAAAGAAAAGTGTGTTGTCCAGGCGGCTACAGTTCAAGGGATGACACGTTCTGGACGATGCTATGTTTCGAAAGAGTTAGCTCAAGAAACACGAATAAATGAGAACCAAAAAAGGCCGATCACACAGGGTGAGGCTGAAGAGTTTTTGCGATGAATGCAGCCTAAAGAGTATTCCATTGTCAAGCATTTAGAGAAGACTCCCGCTCAAATTTCTGTTTGGGATCTATTAATGAGTTCTGAGTACCATCGAAAAACACTGTTGAAGGTACTTAATGAAGCGTATGTACCAATGGGAATAAGTTGGAATCTGGACATTATGGTAAGTCATGCCATTGGAAGTCATCAAATCTCTTTTCGAGAAGAGGAGTTGCCACTCGAAGGAGTGATGCACAATTGTGCCTTGTATTTCACCGTCAAATGCATGGACAAGTTTGTAGCTCGAGTATTGATTGATAATGGCTCAGGTCTCAATATCTGCCTATTATCAACCCTTACTCAACAAAATTATGATGTAGGGAAAATCCATCAAAGTCGCATGAATGTAAGGGTGTTTGATGGTTCATAAAGAGAGACTATGGGGGAAGTAGACTTGGGTATCTAAATGGGGCCTGCAGAATTTGTCACTGAGTTCCAGATGATGGGTATATCTACAAGCTACATCTTATTACTAGGGAGACCATGGATCCATGCGGTCGGAGCAGTTCCATCCACATGGATGACAAGTTCATCTGGGAGGACCATGAAATTGTCATCCATGGTGAAGGGAGGGACCATAGTTACCCTAGTTTTTCCGTTCTTTCCTCTCAAGGTACTGACTTTCATATGGTGGAGATAATGAACACTGCTTTCGAAGATACGACATCGCAAGTACCAATGTCGTTTGTGTATAAAATGTTTGCCACGACTATGCTAAGAAGCGGTTTTAAACCTGGGTGTGGGTTAGGTAAGAATTTGGATGGCATATCTGAACCTCTTCCTATCCCACTTCAAAATCTCGACTTTGGCATCGATTATACCCCAATAGAGGAAGAATTGTTTAAAGCAGATACAAGAAAAAAATGTGATTATGATATACCGAAGCCTATTCCAGAATTGTACCAGTCATTTGTTGCTAAAGCTTTAGAGCTTGAGAGTGATGGTCTAGTAGAATGGATGGGAAGATTGTTTGACGAAGAAGATTGTGATGTGATCTTGGTGGAGTGCACCACGACAACCATCATCCGAGATGCTGGACCTGAAGAGATGCTACAGAATTGGATGGCCACTCCACTTATGATCCATCGAATGTCTTGGTAGACAAAGACAAGATTTGAAGTTTTATTTTGAAAATCGGTGTTGTTCGGACGAGGCCCGAAACCACCATTTATGTCACTTTATTTTTCACTGTAATGTTTAAAAAGGAAATGACTCATGTTGACATGACTCATGACCAAAGTTTGTACGCCTTTTTAAAATTTCAATGAAAGCCTTTATTTTAAATTGATTATCCTGTTTTTGTGAATTGCTCTCCAGTATATACATTTAAACTCTTTCTATCTAACATGGTTGATTTATTGTTCTTTTTAGAAAAAATGAATCTAAACCTGCCAATGTCATGACATGTCACGAACTCGGTGAACCATGTAAGGTCAATGAAAATGAATGTGAAGAATATGATGAGGAAACCATGATACCTGAACATCTCACCGAGGACTTGAGGCAACTTGAAAATGATAAAAAGCCCAACCTGGATGAGACAGAGATAGTAAACTTGGGAGATGACGAGCTGGTCAGAGAAACCAGAGTCAGTGTCCATTTGGCAGCGACAGAAAGAGGGGAATTGGTCAAACTACTCAGACAATACATTGATGTGTTTGCCTGGTCTTATGATGATATGACAGGGTTAAGCACTGATATTGTTTCCCATAAGCTGCCGATCAATTTAGAGTACTGTCCGGTAAAGCAAAAACCAGAAAGTTCAAGCCCGATCTGAGTTTTAGGATAAAAGATGAGGTCATGAAGTAGATCAAATCAAAAGTCGTTGAAGTGACCAAGTATCCCACTTGGTTGGCTAACATTGTTCCAGTGGCGAAGAAAGATGGAAAAATCAGGATATGCGTGGATTATCGGGATCTCAACAAAGTGAGTCGAAAAGATAATTTTCCCTTGCCGAATATCCACATACTAATTGATAATTGTGCTAAGCATGAGTTGCAATCTTTTGTGGATTGCTTTGCGGGATACCACCAGATTCTAATGGATGAAGAAGATGCAGAAAAAACAACATTTATCACACCTTGGGGAGTTTACCATTATCGAGTGATGTTGTTCGACCTCAAGAATGCTGGAGCCACTTACATGAGAGTTATGACCACCATTTTTCATGATATGATCCACAAAGAAATTGAGGTGTATGTGGACGATGTCATCATAAAATCCTGCAAGAGTTCGGATCACCTGACACACTTGGAAAAGTTCTTTAACAGGTTACATATGTATGATTTGAAGTTGAACCCAGCCAAATGTGCATTTGGAGTACCTACAGGGAAGTTACTCAGATTCATAGTTAGCAGAAGAGGTATCGAGCTTGATCCTTCCAAGATCAAGGCAATTCAAGACTTACCTCATCCAAAGACTATGAAGGAAGTAATGAGTTTTCTGGGGAGACTGAATTACATCAGTTGATTCATAGCTCAATCAACAGTGATATGTGAGCCCATATTCAAGTTACTATGAAAAGATGCGCCAACCAAATGGACCGAATAATGTCAGAAGGCTTTTGACACCATCAAGAGTTACCTTTCAAATCCACCAGTATGGTGCCACCACATGCAGGCAGTCCTTTGCTATTGTATTTATCTGTCTCTAACAATGCGTTCGGGTGTGTGTTGGGACAAGTGATGAGACCAGAAGAAAGGAGAGAGCTATATACTATTTTAGCAAAAAGTTCACATCTTTTGAGGCTCGTTACACCCTTTTAGAGAGAACTTGTTGTGGTTTGACTTGGGTTGCTCAAAAATTGAGACATTATCTGTTGGCTTATACAACACATCTCATTTCAAAGATGAACCCGCTCAAGTACATATTTCAGAAAGCAATGCCCACAGAAAAGCTAGAAAAGTGGCAAATGTTGTTGAGTGAGTTCGACATTGTGTACATGACTCAGAAAGAAATCAAGGGGCAAGCCTTGGCTGATCACCTTGCTGAAAACCCAGTATATGAAGGATATGAACTGCTTAGAACATATTTCCCTGATGAAGAAGTATTGTTTGTATGGGAAGATATATCAGAGTCATATGCTGGGTGGAGAATGTTCTTTGATGGAGCAGTGAACTCTAGAGGATCAGGAATCGAAGCGGTGTTGATATCTGAATCGGGGCAACATTATCTAGCAACAACAAAGCTTAGATTTCGATGCACTAATAATATGGATAAGTATGAAGCATGTATTCTTGGCATTAGAATGGCTCTTGACATGAATGTTCAAGAATTACTGATAATTGGTGATTCAAACTTGTTGATTCATCAAGTTCAAGGAGAATGGGCAGTGAAGAATCCTAAAATCTTACCTTACGTACAATTGGTATGGAGGTTATGCAAATGATTTAGGAAGACCGAGTTCAGACACACCCTAAGAATTCAGAACGAATTTGTTGATGCCCTCGCAACCATATCGTCCATGATACAACACCTAGAAAAGAGTTATATCGATTCACTTGAGATAGGTTTAAAAGAACAACCAGCACATTGTTCACATGTGAAAGAAGAATTGGATGGGAATTCATAGTATATCGATGTGAAAAAGTACTTAGAAGCTGGCGAATACCCGGAAAAAATGACAAGTAGTCAGAAGAAAACAATCTGAAGAATGGCAAACAACTTCTTTTTGAATGGAGAAGTCCTTTATAGGAGGACTCCCAATCTAGGATTGCTAAGATATGTGGATGCTGTCGAAGCCACGAGATTGCTTGAAGAAGTGCATGCTGGAGTGTGTGGGACGCACATGAACGGGTTTACATTAGCAAAGAAAATCTTAAAGGTGGGATACTTTTGGATGACTATGGAAAGTGATTGAGGCCGATTTGTCCAAAAATGTCATAAATGTCAGGTACATGGAGATCTGATCAAAGTACCTCCCCACGTGCTCAGTGTGATGAGTTCCCCTTGGCCATTTGCAGCTTGGGGCATGGATGTTATTGGACCGATTGAGCCTGCTGCCTCAAATGGTCATAGCTTCATTTTGGTCGCCATTGATTATTTCACAAAATGGGTGGAAACTGCTTCCTACAAAGTTGTGACGAAGAAGGTTGTGGCCGATTTTGTTCGCAACAATTTGATATGTCATTTTGGAGTTCCAGAGTCTATCGTCACAGACAATGGAGCAAATCTAAATAGCCATTTGATGAAAGAGATATGTGAACAATTCAAAATTATCCATCGTAATTCAATTGCATATCGTTCTCAGATGAATGGAGTTGTGGAAGCTTCTAATAAGAACATCAAGAGGATACTGAGAAAGATGATTGATAACTACAAATATTGGCATGAAAATTTGCCTTATGCTTTTCTAGGTTATCGCACCACAATCCGAACCTTAACTGGAGCAACTCTTTATCTATTGGTATACGAAACAGAAGCAGTGATTCCAGCTAAAGTTGAGATACCATCTCTAAGGATTATTCAGGAGGCTGGATTTAGCGATGACGAATGGTTTCGTGACCGATATGAGCAATTATCATTGATTGATGAGAAAAGAATGATTGTTGCTTGTCATGGCCAATTGTATCAACAGAGAATGACTCACGCTTTCAACAAAAAAGTAAGAGTTCGAACATTTGAGGTAGGCCAATAGCTGTTGAAACACATTTTCCCCCATCAAGAAGAATATAAAGGGAAATTGGCACCTAACTGGCAGGGATCGTATGTTGTCCACAAAGTATTCTCAAGAGGAGCTTTGGTTCTAGCGGAGATGGACGGTAGAGTGTGGCAAAAAGCTACCAATTCAGATGTCGTCAAGAGATACTACATTTGAAGGATAATACTTCTTTCCTTCACTTCCTTGTAATTAAAGTTTGTTTGTAATCATTATTGCATTATGTTTTGAAACATTCCAATTGTACTTGAACTACGTTCGACCTGAATTCTCAAGAATGAGATACGTAGGCGGTCTATGTCGGCCTCGGTCATTTTCTTGTCAAAATTTTCTATTTCTGTTAGCCTTCAAGAGGGGAACTATGTTTGACCTGATTTCTGCCTCAACGGGATATGTAGGCGCCACAAGGGTTCGGTCATATTCCCAATAAGATTTCCATTTCCATTCATAATGGAAACTGGGACAGAATTTTTGAGATCCTCTCAAAAATTCTACAAGAAGAGTTCTTTCCTACAAACAAGAGTCAAAGATCATATCGAAATTGCAATTGGGACATAATTTTGAGAAAATCTTGAAAATTTGCAAGATATCATGACTTCCGTGATCACCATCAGATTTATTTTTAAGATATCTAACTGCGACAGAAATTTTGAGGAAGACCTCAAAATTCCATCAAGGGTACTCAGAACATCAAAGTCAACTTCAAGTGCCTCAACGTTACATACTCTTAAGGAGTTCTAAAGTTGCCAGCAAGCTACCTATCATGACAAAATCTGAGACAAAGGGTTTTGTTCGTGTCGTGCATGTCGTGACAGTTAATTGGTAGAGAATTTCTTTAAAACTATTTTTCAAAAAACTTCATACCTAGAAAATGTTTTAATTTAAATATGATCTTGTCTTTTGTTTACTGCAATTCGTAGGTTCAACCAAACTTCCAAAGATAGCGAGACAAGGAGCAAGGCGACTGGAAAAAATCAACACAGATCAGTGTTCCAAAACTAACATTTTTTTGTGGAGACAGGTTAAAATAAGATCATCAAAAATAATATATTTATCAATCAACTATTTCAGAAGAACCTATCAGCAAATATCAGATAGTGAGTGAAACATCTCTGCTTGACCAAAGAGAACGACATTCATAGTCAAATCCATCTTATTCAAACCGCCAAGAGGGCCATTCTATATTCAGTCTTTGTCGAGAGCATCCGAGAGGATGAATACTCAAATCAAACCACAGGTGCGAACGACATAAAAAAGGATGCAGCATAAGCGTGGAACTTTTTCTCAGCAGCAAACTGGACATAGTCCAAAGAGGAGTATCAAACTCTTAGGACGCGAGCTGAGGAGAGACTTCCACCACAATCAAACCACACCCCTATCAAAAGGCATATGGGTTTTTCTTTTGAGTTTATCGATTTCAGTTTCGCATCCGGGAAACTTCAGCTCTTACCGAAGGCAACTTTCCAATTTGAGTGACAATGCACCAAGATATTTGAAAATTATGTCCGTGTAAGTTCTTACTTATGGATGTGAAGCGCACCACATTCATGGCTGAAAGGTTGCAATCCTCTTTTTCATACTCGACTTACTTTTCACTCTTCCATAACCGAAGGTTATCTAACATAATAGATTTCCTTTTCAACGGATCGAGTCGAACTACAAACAACGTGATTCTTAAGGTTTAAGGATATGTAGGCGGGCTCAATATTGAAAACTCGGTTGTATTCGGACATTCTCTCTTAAATCTTATTCCCGAGCAATCCGATCTCGCCATAATTTGATATTGGGATAGCTTTTGAACCCTTTCATAATCATGCATCAAATCAAGCGTGTCGACCTACAAGTGGCCTAAATTCTCATATAGCCTGAGATATGTAGGAAACCTGATACCGAGGTTCGACCATGATTCCTAAAGTCCGTACCAAAATCCTTTTTCAAAAGATGAAGATGTGGTCAGTCAAAATTGGATTCGTCAATTTCATTTGCCTTGAATTTCTTTCATAAATCCAAGTCAAATGAGGGACAGCTGTTGACACCCAATTTTGGACCTCTACATTATAGATTAATCATCGAGCTTCTTAAATTTCAAACAATTTAAAATAACTAGTTTTATAAAATTTCAATAGTTTGCAAGTTATTTATAATTTTTAAATAATATATGTGTTTAATATAATTATGTATATAATTAGTATATTTTAAGAATATTCGATAATCATCTCAAAAAGATTTTTGCTTTAATTAAGTATTTTTTTTATTAGTTTAAGTTATGTTTATATTTGTGAGTAAGTAAATTAATTATTTTATTTGATTAAGATTAAGAAGGTTATTAATTAATTTATATTAATTCGTCTTATTCAACTTTTAGTTGAATTCACCAATTAATCCAAATCGGCTATGTCCTTAACTTCACTTGGCCAAATTTGCAATCCATTTGGTTATTTTTCAAGTTCAAATACAACCAATATATGACTCTAATTCTTGGACTATTTTTAGATCAACTTTGGCCCATTTTTCTTGGCCCATCAATTTCATCAGCAATGCCAATTCTCTCTTCAACACTCAACACCAACAACTCTTTAAACCGACCTAGGCCCAATTCTTCAAACTTCAACCCAATAATACATTCGGCAATGCAATAACAACCCAACCCAACCCTGCAACGTCTTCTTCTCCAGCAAAAATCGAGAACAACGACCCTGCTTTCTTTTCTTCTTCATCGCAGCGGAAATCACGAACAGCAGTAGAAAATCGCGAGCATTACCAAACCTGACCCCACCCCTGCATCTTCTTCACGAGAAATGCCAGAGAAGAAACCCAGAATCACACGCCTCTACTTCTTTGCGAAGAAATTGGTACGTGATCCATCTGCACACCCATAACCCTAGCAACCTAATCCATCATGTCGTTGTTCATATTTCCCCATTTTCAAGGATCTTCAAATCTCTTTCACTGTTGGTCTTGGAAAGGAGGAAAGAAATTCAAATTTTTGTTTGAATTTTTTCAACGGATTTCCCCCCTAAATCACCCTATTTTTCCCTATAAATAACCCTCTACACTCAAGTGAAGGGGGGCGGTTTTTTGAGTTTAGTTTTGAAGCAATAGTCATTTTACACTTGAAAATTTTCAAGTGATTCTCTAATCCTAGGTTCCGAGGAAATATCTGTTCATAGCTGGTTTTGAATTTCTTGGCTTGCTATTAGTATTTGAATCTTGTGGTAGAAGAATCACTGTCCAAAGCTCGTCGTTCCCAGTTCACTGCCCCCGGAAAGGTAACCCTTTTTTTTATATAATTTTAGTCTCTTTGTCGTGTATTAACAGTAGTTTAGTTTTATGGTCTAGTTATGTGATCTTTCTGCTAAATCGATGTGAGATTGGTTGCTTATTAATCATTATGAGATGTTTTAATATTAGTATCTTGCGAGTGTTGCGACTCATTGTTGATTGCGGCAGTTTAAATAGCTTATGGTTCGAATGTTGTTGTTTGATTTTGTTTGTTCGAAGTCTTGATGAATTTATCTGATGTCGGGTAAATTTCTCCCTGTTAAGGTCTTTTATATCGCTATTAATCTAGTCTTGTTGACTGTGGATTGGTAGGTCAGTCATGAAGTTCAAAATCGCCTTCTATAGAAGATCTCGTCTTTTGAATCAATATATGAAGGTTATCTGTTTCAAGCTGTTGGAGAATTTTTCTTGTGTTAAATTCTCACTGTCAAAATGTGTTGCTATGCTAATTAGTTTTTTCACTTATATACCTTTATCATATTCACCCTTAAAACATGCTAAAAATGAAATTTCGTTGTTGGTATCTAAGTTAGCTTCAACTCAAATGGTGTTTGGATGCCCTCTTCTTCCTTTCCCCATTATTGTTCGGGTTTCGTTGCTTCACTCTCTAAGAGTGAGCTTTGCTCAAATCTTTACCTCATTTACTTAGTAATTTTGTATAAGTGAATTGTCGTTTGTTGTTGAGTTAGTATAGAATTGAGTTTCTTATTTTCTTTTTTTTGGATTTTAGTTTGTTAGAGTTTCATCCTTGAAATTATTTGAAACATGATTTTTTTGGGTATTAACCGCTCATTGTATGGCTTGCTGATTATTTAGCCTCCATGTTAATCCCCCTATAGCTCTCTTAAGTCATGTTTATGGCCTCTGCTTTGAAGCAAAGGAAAAGATCAAATTATGCCTAGTTTTTTACCAATAATGTGTAAAAAAATAAAAAATAAAAAAATGAGACTTTATAAGAGCCTCTGTGCCAGGTTGTGTTATCAAATTTTATTATCTTTTCAACCTAAAGGTGAAGATTTTATTGTAAGCAACCTATTGTCAATATACATAGTCATTCATTTGATTAAAAGCTAATAACAATTACATGTTCTATTTCAATGGCTATTGTCAAGAATGTCTACACTCTTCTCTTAGGTCCTTTTTTTCGGTGCAACACAGGAAAGCACCCTTTTTTTGTCATCCCTGCAGCTACTGTCTGGTCTAGGTATTTAATATATTTTTATCCTATTCATGCATGCTAGATTATAGCGTTGCCCCCATTTGGTTGATTATTAATACCAATGTGATATTCCCTGGTGGAATGAACGTGTGTGATGCATTTTCTTAGTATAATAGGCAGTGGTGTCTCTTGGTTGATCAACTTAAGTAAAATGTGGTTTCTTATTGTCAAGTATATGCTTCTTCTTTTCTTAATTTGTGTCTCTTTGAAATCTACTAAGTAACATTGGTTGTAGCTTTATTTTGTTGTGAATTGTCTAGTTGGCTTTGTTATAAATTAATGTCATGCCTTATTATTATTTTTTACTAAGGATGTTATTCTTGTGAATAAGTTTGAGTATGAATGCTAATCTTATGACTCTTTCTTTGCATGTGAAACCTACCTCGAGACTATTTTGGACTCTCATCTCCTATCCTTGCATCTCCTTGTTGGGCCAAAGGCCCAACTTTACCTCTTATCGAGTCAGCCAAAGCAATAG